TTCTTTCTTTCTTTCTTTCTTTCTTTCTTTCTTTCTTTCTTCCTTTTTTTTTCTTGAATTCCCCACCCCCCTCGGGAAATCTCAACCTCGGTAAATAGCAAAGATAACCTAGACAACCAGTAATAAACTATTTATTTTTTAGATGCAAATGTAATCCTGGATACGAGGGGTCGGGGGAGTTCTGCTCTGTAATTGATCCTTGTACCAAACCAAACAGAGGTGGATGCCACAAAGACGTAAGTGTTGATCGTCCATGATTTTAATACAATTAAATAGGAATTGCAAGCGCTATAGTTTCTTGGCGGGTGATACATGAGTGTTTTTAAAAAGAAGCAGAAGTACCTAACTAATTCATAACTAGTCATGGACTTCTGGAAGATGCTGGTATTAGTTTGTGCGCGTAACGAAAAATTCAGTGTTTAGCCATTGAAATGTCTGAGCTCGCAGGATATCGAAAACAGCAGTAACGGCACGCTGCGATCGTAAGATTTTTTAGTCACACGAAATCTGCTCTAACTTAAGTATGGTGATGACGACCAACGTGCTTTTTGTTTTAGGCGTCATGCATCATGACAGGACCAGGCACCAATAACTGTACATGTGATCGTGGTTYCCGTGGTGACGGTGTAGTCTGCGTAGTGGTAGACCCGTGTAAAGAGGGAGCTCAACTTAGTTGTCATCTTCATGCTGGCTGCAGGTTCACTGGACCCGGACAGGTTGGTTTGAGCATATATTGCTTGGTATCAATCAAAGGAATGAATCTTGTTTCCAGCCTACGATGACAGGCAAACATTGCCCGTCATGTGCTATAAACCAGAGGGTATTCTATTGCTTGGTATCAATCAGCTGAATGAATCTTGTTACCAGCCTACAATGACAGGCAAACACTGCCCGTCATGTGCTATAAACCAGAGAGTTTATTCTATTGCTTGATTTCAATCAGCTGAATGAATCTTGTTACCAGCCCACGATAACAGGCAAACACTGCCCATCATGTGCTATAAACCAGAAAGTATTCTATTGCTTGGTATTAACCAGTTGAATCGTGAATATTTATCTTTGGATTGTTTATTTTAGAGCTCATGTGTGTGTAAGTCAGGGTACACTGGCAGTGGACGAGACTGTACTGAGATCAACAACTGTCTTGTGAGCAATGGAGGATGTTCTCCCAAGGTGTGTTTAAAGTATCATAGCATAAGAAACAATTCATCAACCCATCGTTGTACTTCCCATGATTGTTATTTTTTTATTGACGCAAGAACATACCTTTTTTCAAATAAAATGAAATAAATCAATGGATCAATGAAACAAGAACAGGAGTTTTTGAATGAAAATTAGCAAGTATCGTTAAAATGTTTTCTTTTTTCCCCGAAGGCCAAGTGCAGCCGTGTGGGGCCTGGGCAGCACAACTGTACTTGTTTCTATGGTTACATAGGCAATGGCTACGCTTGCCTTGGTTCTGTTGCTAAGGTAGGTCAATATAAACATTTCAGAAGCTCTTTTTATGAACTGTGACTTAAAAGGGATTGGATGTCTGTCACTGGGTTGTATTCTTGTTTTGCGTATGACGTCATGGTCGCCATGTTGAAGAACGTTAGCAAATGTTTTGGAACTTTTATAGTTTGTCATATCAATAGATCCCTTGCAACACGTCGGAATGCAGCTCAATTTGGTGGACATAACAATAGGTTTCCAGTTCCAGTTCACGGGTTTTTAACAAATAAAACCACAGGTAGCCCAAGCTTGGTTTCTGTGGTGTCCTGTCATAAGGAAATGTATGGAGATTCATCAAAAATTTCAATAAAATCATTGAAACGTGAAACAAAGCCTTTAAATTTTACCCGATCATTGAGAAATAGCACTTCTTTCGCTCTGCGTGGTTATTTTTTGAATTTAGCCCGTTTTAAGATTTTTTCCCCCACCAGTAAGAAATAAGAGAAGGTTGGAAACTCGAGTCCCAAAAGCGAACCATCACGGGTCTTTGAAACCTCGTACCTCTTCGAATTTTCTTTCCAGCGCCAAATTTTAGTCATGACCCTTCTCTCACATCCCTATAGAACCGAGAAAGTCGCATTAGTCTTCGCGTCTTTAAGCCATGAAATTTGCCTGTATTCACATACTACCTCGCTTGTTCTGACCCGTACTTGGAGCTCACTGTACACCAGCTCAACGGATTTCTTTCGGCAACCGACCCAAGCTTGGGCTACCTGTGATAAAACAGCTTTTTTTGTGCTTCGCTCAGTATGTAATACAGCACGCAGGAAGTGACGTAAGCACGAAAGAGGTGTAAGGAGATGCACGAGCCGTATATGCGAGTGCTTACGGCRCTTTCTAAGTGATTTATTACTGAATGGAGCACGGAAAAAGCTGTTTTATTCATTTTATTCGTTTTATTATATAGCTAAYATATATATTTTTGGTATTGAATTTATTTGCGCAAAAAGAAAGACGGTCGCAGGATCTAGCAGCACTTCGCCCGCGCGGATGGCGTCAGCACTGTGCTCCGTTCACTAATAAATCACAGTTTTCGACCAATCGGCGCGCGCGTACTATCTTAACTATATAATAAATTTGGATGTTGATTTTGTTCTAGGTCATAGAAGACGATAGTCGACTGACATCCCTGTACAAGTTCATCAAGGTAAGATGAGATCAGTTCTTTATTACGAATTTAGTACAATTGAAGGGCTTGCAATGGACGACGTCCTATACCGTTTTTAAATCGAGGTGCTCTTTTAACAGCGGGGTTCATTTTGACACAACTTCTCGTTTTAAAGGTAGTAGGGTCACTTAACCTGTTGTACAATGAACCACTAAGAATGCAAGTAGTTAAGGAACGGAAAAAGACCACTCTTCTTTCCCGACCTATCTCATCCCTCTCCTTGTTAACCGGGTTTAACGTCGTGTGATTGCAGAAAGCCCATTTAGAGTACTTCCTATCTATGGAGGAGATGAACTTCACCGTGTTCGCGCCATCAAATGAAGCACTTAATAGTCTTGATCCGGGTGATAGTGTATACTGGAGCCAGTCTACTGACAGATTGGTTTACTTGATACGGTAAGGAAATACCCATATACACTMTGTAAATACGAAGGACAACGTTATAGCATAGCAACAGAGGTTTAGAGAAATGTCTCACATAGCGGCAAGAAAAACGTATGACCCTATTTGGCCCAGTGGTACTCCTGAATGTCTAACTTGTCTGTCTGCACGTCTTTCATTGGTGTATATATTTATTTACATTGTTATAGGCACCATCTGGCGAACATCTCCTACTCTTCAAGGACGTTAATAAACCTGACATCCTTACTAGTCATGAATGGACTGAGCCTGAACATCACTCAGAAAAACAATGTGGTAAGTAGCGCCATTCTTTAATTAGGAATCTCCCACACCACTTTGACTTTCAAATATGCTTTTTTTTTCTAATGCTTTTTTGTTAGACACTTTAGTGGTTTCCTTATTCCAACGGTGTATTGGAATGCAATATTTCCTTGCAACAGAACCTGCATTTTAATGCTTTCTTGCTAAACTTTTTAGTGGTCCTGCACCTACACCACTTGAACTATCAAATATTAAATCTTGCATTAGTTGAAACACTTTAGTGGTTTCCTTATTGCAACGTTGCATTGAATGCAATGTTTTCCTGCAACCAAAAATGGGTTTCTTGCTGCAATAACAATACTCACATTGCACTGGGTTCTCATTGATTGCTACATTTCTAAGAATGTTTAATTCTAACAAGCTATTTTATCGTATGTATACATGTGTAAATATCAGGTTATATTAAACGATGGAGCCCGTATTACACAAGCAGACATCGGAGCAGCTAATGGAATGGTCCATATCATTGACAAGGTATGCGCAATCTTTAAAAAATTCCCGTACGGATTTTTACTAAAGGGGTTTCATTTTCCAGGATAATTATTTCCCCTTGAATCTGGGCACATTGATAAACACTATCGGTTGGAATTGACCATTCTTTTCTTTCTTTTTGCTTATGCATTTCAGGTTCTCGTGCCACAACGCCTGCCCTCAGAACCAGTACTTTCAAATGTTTCACAAGTTCTTGCTAATCTGAAGGAATTCTCCGACTTGAACCAATTTTTGAAGGTATTTAAAACCCTCTTTGCTTTGCGCACAAAACATATGGTAACCGGGCACAGTGATTAGTCGAGTTGGGTATCCCTGTGTTATGATTGGTTCGTAGAAAAAGCCATTTGAACGCCGCAGTTAATTGATTGATTCCTCTGGTTTTCCTCTCTCCAAAAAAACCCCAACAGGCTAAATTCACCCTAATTCGATCTGTAAGCTATGTTGATCTCTTTCTTTATACTTTCTAGAACACTCCTCTTGCATCTGAACTCGAGAACTGTGTTGGTTGTACAATCTTTGCCCCTGTCAACTCTGCGCTCAAGAACTTTCGACTGGTTCAGCATAAGAATATCGTAAGTACAGAAGAAAATTTTAAGGAGACAGATAAAAAAGTTTCCGTTTAAATGGACTTCTTCGACGTTTCGGCGGGCATCTTGAATCACGAGGCATTGTGGGTCATCCAGGAGAACAAATAGACAAATCTTTGTTAATGGCGCTGTTTGACATTAACGGTTCATAAAAAGACAATTTGACAAGAGATTTTAAAAAAATTCACGGTCCCAAAACTGAGGCCCCGTCCACATTATGCCGGATAAATTTAAATCCGAATTTTTATTTATTCGGTCCCATTTCGAAAATTCGTTTTCGGTGAAGAATTGTTCCGGATTCGCCCGGACTAGTGTGGACGGTAGGCCTAACCGAATAAATAAAAATTCGGATTCAAATTTATCCGGCATAGTGTGGACGGGGCCTGAGGAAATATCTCAAATATTGCTGGGTCATTATTTAAAATCATTTTTGTTTTGTTTTGCCGCCTGGGCGACCCATGATGTCTTGCGATTCAAGATGGCCGCCGCATCGTCTAAGTAGTCCGTTAAGAACGTTCGTTATTGTTTTCTTTCCCCCCCCCTCTATTTCCAGACTTTGGACGTTTTGAAATACCATGTAATATTGAAGTACCTATCTCCTGGTCACTACTACAATGGACAGCAATTCTCAACCAAACTGGGACAGAACTATCTGGTTAAATTAACGAAACCCTCGGCGGGTGAGGTAGGACAATATTGATAACAGTGAACGTGCTAAGGGGTCTGGTTTGTTTGTCTTTCTGTCTGTCTGTCTGTCTGTCTGTCTGTTTGTTTGTCTGTCTGTCTGATTGTCTGTTTGTCTGTCTGTCTGTTTGTATGTCTGTTTGTTTGTCTGTTTGTTTGTTTTATTTATTATGTGTTTGTTTATTTGGTTACTTTTCAAATCTAGTGTGTTTCTAAATATCTTTTATTCTTTTCCTGCCTATATTCCTTCCAGTTTGCTATCAATGGCATCCCTTTTGACAGCGGCATTAGAACAAAGTTCTCTATCATCTACAAACTTCCCCAAGTCCTGGAGCCGACAAAGAGTCGTTGTGACATCTACAGTACTATATATGGTCAGGTGGGTGGTGATTTAGCATACATGAATGGGGAAACATAACACCCTAATAAATGGCCTATTTATATTCACCCACTCATTTGTTTTGATATCTAGACTCAATGCAGATGGTGCCCTTTCCAGCTTGCTTGTCCTTCTCCATGGACCAAAGTGGTAAGTAGTATTGAATGAATGAATAAAGGGAGGAAGGGAGGAAGGGAGGAAGGGAGGAAGGAAGGAAGGAAGGAAAGAAGCAAGCACCTGTGGCCCTCGTTCCATGATTGAATTGTAATTTAGAAGTGGATTTCTGCACACGGAGGAAAACAGAAAACCCGGAGAAATGTAACTTTTCATATTTTACATTTCCTGTTTCACAGAAAACAGCTTCTTGTTACTTTTGGGGATTCCTTAGAGGATGCATGTCAATTTGTAAAAAAGTTCGTAARGTAAGTATTTTCATTCATAAGGCTACCATTACTGTGCGGATACTGCAACCAGGACCACTTTACTAAACTATTACCATTAACCAATCATATTGCGACATTTAGTTCAATATTTTTTAACCAGCCAATCAGCGCAACGATATTATAAGAGCATGAGAACGTGATAATCTGATTGGCTAACGTTGTTATCAGTTCAATCTCTGTCTAGTTTACTGTTATCTGATTGATCAGTTTTATTTAAGTAGTCCCGGTTAGTGTGGCCGCAGAGTAATAGGGAAGACAGAAATAAGACTCGAGGGAATAATCAACACACAATTTTAGGGAAAAAATATCGCGCGGTCTATAGAGGTTTGATACCCTCACGTGCTTGAGCCCATAATACAGTTAGGGATGCCTGTGGTTAGATGGCAGAACAATAAAACAGGGGATACATCTCGTATAAATAAGATCAATCAAATTTGATACCAGAAAGATAATTTCGATCCAGACCCTCTTTCACTCTTTCGCACCCCATGGAAAAGCCCCCCGGAATCAGTGACGTTTCCCTCCCGAAGATTTTTCTTTGTTTTTTTCTTTCTTGTAGGTACCGAAGTGTTGTAGTGGATTTTGGGGACCTGATTGCCAAGGTAAAAACCTACAAACACTTAAAAAATGATGTTAACGTTATGATGATCTTGTCAGTAAAAAAACCCAACTAGACGATTTGATAGGGTAACTAGATTTACACATAGTAATTTTCATCTAGGACCTTGTAGATCGAATTAGAATTTAAAAATTGATTTTTGCGGAGGGAGGAAAACCGGAGAACCGGGAGAACACTTGAAGCACAGGAGAGAACCGATTAGCAACACCACTTACATACGACGATTCCGAGAATCGAGACCGGGTCGAATTGTTGAAACGCCATGCTTCCAAAGGCAGTATTTCAAAATTCGAGCGGTTTCCTTTCAAACCTCTACTCAGGCTCATTCCTACCTTTCATGGATTGCGACCATCCCCAAATCAAGTTATACTTTTCTTGTTCAACTTTTAGCTTGTCCAGGAAACGTCAAGGCGGCGTGTTTTGGTAATGGCAAATGCTCTGAAGGTATCGCTGGTAACGGACACTGTACTTGCAATGCTAGTTTCACTGGAATAGCTTGCGAGAAATGTCTGCCGTACAGATATGGCAAGACCTGCTCTTCRAGTGAGTACTTTTATGTCTTACATAGAGCAGTTTTCGTAAAGCTCGCGGCACGAGCACGGTCGTGACACGGCAAGGCATACGCCAGACCAATCACATAAAATAAAATATATAATAAATAAAATACTCGGAACACGGCGCGAACACGGCGCTGACACCGTCACGCAAAGGTCACGGTCCTACCAGACCAATCACATTCCGCGAGAAAAAAACTGCCAATCAAAAACTAGAAAACTTCGCGGTCGCGGCAAGGCACAGTCATACGAAAACTTACAGTGCTTTTTAAAAGCTTTTGGAAGTCTTTCTAATTCTATGTATAGAGCGTTTTCATTCACGTGGCAAGGCAGCCATATAAAACTAGAGTTCAATTCCCGAAGGATAGAAAAAGTATTACTCCGCTTCAGTACACCAACATGGCCGCTGCGACGTCACGTGATGACATTATTGTTTTTTGAAACCAATTTTGACGCCCCGTAATGAGGGCAGTGACAGTAATGGTGACAGTACTTGTAGATATGTAATTGAGTGGCTTTTTTATTTTATTTTTTTCTTAGCCTGTGCTTGTGTTCATGGTCGCTGTAATGAGGGTATAGGTGGAGATGGGTCGTGTAAATGTGAACACGGCTGGAAAGGTCCTCGCTGTAACACATGTAAGTATTGTACATTGAACTTCCATACTAATAAAAAAATCATGCAAAAAACGGTGCCGTATGTAGTTATAAAGCACGCGGGGATTGGCAGAACACAAGAGAAGTCGGTTAGGAGAAGCACGACGTGTAGCTTTTATAAAATACAAATTAGAGTAACCGTTATTTTGGATACGAATGCTGTGCGCGTGCGACTCTCATCATGCAYGCGTTTCATAACAGGTATTTAATAATGACTTTTGGCAAGCGTTATCAGTACCAGGAATTGTACTTAGTCTGAACGAAATAGAAAAACAGTACGCCCAAGCTAGAGGTGCATTTTGTAACATGAGATGACAGGTGTTTTTTATATACAATTGAAGAAATAGAAAACGAGCGCGCGTGCTGTATGCAGTTATGAAGCACGCGGGGGTTGTCAGAAACTTGTGAAAGCTTAGCAGAGTGCTTCTCGACACTTGTCGAGTGTTCTACCAAGTGCTTTATAACTCCACACTTGTCGAGTGTTCCCCAAGTGCTTTATAACTCCACACAGCACAGCAAGCAAGTTTTTTATTTCTTTTATGAAATACAAATTACAGGAATGACGCAACTGTGTGAAGGTGCGCGCGCGTGCTGTGTGCTCTCATAAAGCGCGCGTTCCCAACCAATCAGCACGCGAGATTTATAACAGTTATTTTTTAATGACATTTACTTTTTTTATATTTCAGCTGCCAATTACAAGAACTGCCTGCCAGTGCAATGCAATACCCATGCAACGTAAGTACAAGTCACAATAGAGCGTGTGCATGTTACGTCATAGCCGCCATCTTGGTTGACGATAACAAAGCATTCCTCACTAGCGTCTCTTGTTAGATCAACCAAGATGGCGGCTGTTTCATTGTTATTCATCTCAAGGGATTTTGGTTGCACACACTGTATAGCGCACGATTGAGACATTGAAATTCTAGCACGATACCGAGAGTAACAAAATTGCATTGAAAAGGATCAGTAGATATAGCGATGTAGATTTGATTATAACATTGATAAGTAGTGAACTAACCAGTCTCGTACCCAGACCCTGCGTTTATTCTGGCCTGCGGCGAAGAACGAGGGCTCTGGCATTCTCTCCCGAGAATAAGATTCTTGTATTCATGTGTCTTCTCATGCGTAACCGTTAAACGAAGAAATGATTCATCTAGTCTTGTTCACGTCAATGTGTATATTTGTCACTGGTGAATAAAAAAATACTCAAGGGAAGGGAATGGCACGTGATTTGCTATGGGGAAACAGTGGGTGGAGTGTCTAAGTACTGTATCTCGAAAATAAGAAGATAGAATTGCGTCGTTTTATTTTTTTAGCTGCCGCGAATCAAATGGGAGACACGTTTGTGAATGTGATTTTAGATACATTGGTAATGGTACCTACTGCAGAGGTAAGCACGCGCATGGAAATTGCAGGGTTTCACTTCACGTCATTTCCTGTCCCGTGTGGGATGTTCGTCAGCTGAAATCTGCGCAAGTTTTTGATAGAATTCTTTCTGGCTGACAACACATGTTGCAGCCGTGAGTGTTTAACCACCATTTGAAGCAGATAATGAGATTCAAAGACTTCGATCAGCTAATTGAAACCCAGCAATACCCAGTAGAATAGAGTAAACTAAACCAGACGAATGTGCTATTACGGGTGGTACGATCAGATATTAACTTTTGAGGATAATATAGCTATACAGCGAAAACTTTCGTTTGACTAGGGAATTTTAGTGGACGGTGCTGACTTACATCAGGCAGGTACATGGTAACCTTGAAAGTTTTAGTTTTGAAGCATCGAATTACTACTTGCCGTAGTTATTGTTGAGTGTGTTTCCTGCTCATATTAAACTAYGAAAACGCTCATCTTACTATTAAGGCCCCGTCCACACGTATCCGGAAATTTTTGTATTCGCAAATTTTTTTTTGCGGATATGGGTTGCGTCCACACGTGTCCGCAAATTTTTGTGTCCGTGTCCGCAAATTTTACGAAAACGGATACGTGTGGACGGTGAAAACGATTCGAATACGCTGCGTGTGGACGCAAACATTTTCGTATCCGCGAAAAATAATTTGCGGATACAAACATTTCCGGATACGTGTGGATGGGGCCTAAAAAGTTATTTACCATTTGTAGGTTGAGAAGAAAGCTGGGTCGAGTTAGCATTGCAGTGCATTGTGGGACTGTTTTAGGGGACATGTTTTTTAAGATGGCGTCTATTTAGTCCCCCAAAAGTATCCCACAATGCACTGCAATACCGATTCGACCTAGTTTCCCACTTAACCTTGGAATGGAGAACATTGAAAAAGAAATCTTTTGGACCTTTATTTACCCAGAGGTACATGCTTGTGACATATATAGTGGTGGTTGCCATAGCAAAGCCACGTGTAGCCCACATCCCGATGACCCTTCGAGGGCTCTCTGCACGTGTAAAGAAGGATACACAGGCGATGGAAGGTTCTGTTCAGGTAACTTATTCATGTATTTGCTGTGTTTGACTATTGTATACTATTGTATAAACTTGGAATCTTGATCAAAGTGGTGTACGAATCATAAACCTTAACGGTGCGCGTGCGCATGCGTAGATCGCATGAATACTAGAATACAGGTGTGAATGATAGCAGGGTGCGTCGAGGGACCAAAAACTCCTTTTTACYCTATTCTGGTTAGTCTTTCTGGAAACACACAGTAAGACCGCGAAAGTCTTCGCGATGAATTAACGACTGCCTTCTACGTTTGGGTTCTCTGTTACACAGAATAGACCTCTTCGGCTCGGGGTAATGTTTTCCCATTTCAGACCACGTGTCATTCCCTTGAGAATAGTATTCTTTGTTTGAGTTGTATCCATATTTATGTGTCTTCTCATGCGCAACCGAGCGCAAACCTTAAAAAAAGAAATGATACTCTAGGGAAAGACATGTGGTCTGAAATAGGAAAACATTACGTCAGAGCCGAAGAGGTGTATAACACAAAAGCTTTTATACCTGATTTCAACATTAATTTTTGTTGTGAAATGTCGCCGATCTTTTTTATCAGGGATCGACTTGTGTCAAACCAACAACGGTGGTTGCCATGTCAACGCCACGTGCTCCAGTACAGGACCAGGAAAGGTAAAGACAAATAGCTGTGCCTGGGGGGATAGCGCTATCCGACGGATAAATCTTATCCAGTGGATAAATTTATTGGATAACAGCCTAGACTTATCCACTACATAAGGAACATCCTACGAACAGCGCTATCCACCCTTCGTCTACAACCAGGCCCTGAACATCAAGCGTTTGCTATACAGCGAAAATTAACGAAATACTCCATCTGTTTCCAGAGATCATGCCATTGCTTGAAGGGTTTCCTTGGCGATGGAATAACTTGCAAGTCGGATAACCCATGTCTGGAGGTTAGTATTTACACACACGCTTGGTATCAACTGGGTAGCGGGTTTGCATAGCGGAAGTGCACTAGCTTCACCTCAAGGGGCCTTAGATTCCCAGACTCACCATCTCTAAGCTGTCAACAGTCCCTCTTTTCCCAGCTAACTCCGTCAAGTCAAGTTTTTGGAGTCAGTGGAGTAAATTTTGGGTATCTGTGTTGATTCAAGGATTATTCTCGAGGTACTCTGGTTTTCCTCCCTCCGCAAATCCTCTAACGAGCTAAATTCCCCGGGAAACCTCGAACAGCTTTGGTTTTACGTCGTACTTTACCCTCCGCTGTTCACGTGAGACTTTCTGGTCACGTGATTCTTTCGTGTCACGTGAGGTGGTCTATCGGGTCACGTGAGACTTTCGGGTGGGCGTGAGACTTTCGGGGTCACGTAAGTCTTTCAGGTCACGTGAGTCTTTCAGGGACACGAGAGTATTTCGGAGCATGCGCATTGAAGTAGTGTGGTGTTTTTAGAATCACAGAGAATGCAGTTTACGAGCTAGGTGTACCCAAACCTGCCGGGTCACGTGAGACTTTCGGGTGGGCACGGGACTTTCGGGGTCACGTAAGTCTTTCAGCTCACGTGAGTCTTTCGGAGTCACGTGATTATTTCGGAGCATGCGCATTGAAGTAGTATGTTTTTTTATAGAATCACGGAGAATGCAGTTTACGAGCTAGGTGTACCCAAACCGGGCCTGGTCAGCGGAACTGCACATGTGGCCCTAACTTTGTCGGGAATGGAGTGACATGCATTGGAAGTAGTATGGAGGTGAGTGCCAAGCTTTTATTTGTGGGTGCAAGTTTCCTTGTAGTATCATATAGGCTTCGTACTATTCCTGGAATTCCAGGAAAGCGACTTGAATTTAAAATTGTTTATCCAGCATCCTTAACATGTTTTCTAATATGGCTTTTCCCCCAGATTTTAGATATTGATCCTGAGCTGTCGAAACTGAAAGATTTATACGAGGTGTGTAACATCATAATCAGTAAAAATTAAAGTTATTCAGTTAATTTATTTAGTCAGCCCTTGAATGCCTATAGACCCCCTTGCATGTGACGTCAAATCAGCTCATTTTGGAGGGCAAAAAAAATCTCCTGAGAACTTGAAACCTATCGTTATGTCCTCCAAATTGAACTGCATTCCAACGTGCTGCAAGGGATCTATGGGGGTTAATTAGTGACCCCACACCCATCCCAGCCCTCCCCTCCCTTGATTTACATAAATGGACATCGTGATAGATAACGTAAGAGCCATTCAGTTTGTTTCCCATACATGCATCAAGAGTTCCGCGCTACTGCTCTAAGCGCATGCTCAAGGGTTAAAAGAATGGGATCATGGTCGGGTTGTAAATATTACTATATTTTCATTGTGTTTTTCTTATTGAGCACAACCCATAATCCCACTTTTTGACCCCTTGAGCATGCGCTCAGAGTAGTAGTGCAGAACTCTTGATGCGGGGATTACTTTCATTTTCGATTCACTTCCTCTGGGCCTAGTTGTTCAAAGCCCGATTAGTGCTAATCCTGGGTTAACTCTCAATAAGACCTGTAGAGTTAATCCTGGATTAGCGCTAATCCAGCTTTGAACAACTGGGCCCTGTTGACTAAGTCCAACCTTGGACTGGGCAGAAAAACGACAAGCCCTCTACTTTCACGATTTTTTTTATTTAACTGAGTTTAATACTTACTTACTTCTTAAATACATTAATAACATGCAACCCCAATGAATCTTTCTTATTTGATACTTTTATACTAATCTAGACTTACAAACTGGATAAACTTCTACAATCCAATACTCCTACGAGTATCTTGGCTCCCACCAACAAAGCCATAAAACAGATTCAACAGGGAAGGAGAAAGGTTAGTTTACATTCTATTTGTGTGTGTTTATTTCAAGACGAAAAAAGTGCAAATACTGTAAAAATCCTATTCTTGTTGAAACAGCTTCACAGGTCAAGTTGGTAAACTCCTTTATCATCTCTTGGATCTCAGGATTGATTCCTGGATTCGGTGGTTTCACATCACCAGACCTGCTAAATTCCAATGGAATTTCAGGTTTAAACCTAATACTTAGGAAAAGAAATATTTCGGGTCAAAATCCAATAGAAAGAAAAAAAAATTACCACATGTCTAAAATAACAAATAAAATGGGTCAAAATCGAATAGAAAGAATATCGAATA